TCGCTGTCTGCGGGTGGTCGAGTCGCCTGACCACGGGATGCATTCACCACCCAGTGCTGGGCATCCCGGCAGCACCACTCCGGGTGCTGAGAGTGCCATAGCAAGCAGAAAGCAGAGCCAGCACACCAGGGAGACAGGATAAATAGACACGGAACCGCCTCCTTCATCAGATAGAGTAATAAGTGAAGGGGAAACAGCAAGAAAGGGGGACTGGGCACACGTGTTGGGGGTGAGGGGAGGGTAACCAGAGCAAAGACGAAGAGGGGGTGGGAGGGGGCTGAATGGAGGAGGAGCCCGTGGGGAGGGAACAGTGCCAGGGCGGGAGGGTGTCTGGGGTGTTGGTGGGGTGGCCATGCACCAGCTGGATAAAGGGAGAGGGGTGGGCAGGGGAAGCCCCCAGAGGGCGTGAACACAGAGGAGAGGTGATCCGGCCTGACTTTTCTGGAGTTCACTCTTGTAAACAATGCAATGGCAAATTGACTCCCCAAAGCCTCATGAGAAGCGCCTGTGAACACCCCACTCCCAGAAGACCCCTGGATGGGGTTCCCATGGATGCCACCTCCATTCTGGGCCACTTTGCCAGTCACTGCCTGCCCCAGGATGTCTGCCTGCCCTGGCTGTGCCAGTTGGACTGTACGAAGGGTTTTAATGCTGAGATTTTGATTAGTGCCATTGCAGCCCTACCTCTGGCCCCATTACCTGTGCGAATAAGCCCAAGTCCAGTAGTGGCCCCTCTTTTCCCTCCCTTGGCCTCTCCTCCACCACTGCAGTTGTGGAAGTGAAGATGTGAGAGGTTAACACCAATGCCTTTCTTTTCAGTCAAGACACTTTGAGAAGTGAAAGTCTTTGCCTCCTCTAGCTACCCGCCAAGGGACCACTTCCTTCAGGAAGTTGGCCTGGATTGCACCCTGTCCCCTGGGCATCACTCCTGTCCCCAGCTCTGTCTTCTGAAGTTTTAATTTGTTGTCTAATGGGTGGGGAGGACATGGGTGGCTGGAGTCCTCCTGCTGGCTGCCCCCCAGAAGTCTTGCCCCCAGGCTTGTGGGATGGGACAGCGTGGAAACTGCAGGTCTCAGGGAAAGAGTGCTCCACATTTAAACTAGGGGTAATGCACTCCTCCCAGGACCTGGGGTGGAGTGCAGCCCTCCCTCCCCAGACTTACGGTGGGTCCTGACACAGGGCATGAGGGAAGGGGGACAAGCTGCACCCCTGCTCCTCTGCTCTGGAGGCTGGCCTGGGGCAGGTCAGGAGGCCCTAGGAGATAGGCATGGAGGGAACACACGGGTGTTTGTCCTGCTGTCCTCTCTCCAGGGCTCTCCCACTCCATTCCTCTCCTGGCCCCTCTCTCTGCTCATTCCCCTCCTCCCTTCCCACCCCTCAGGTCAAGGAGTGTCCCCCAGAGTTCTGGGCTGGCCAGGCGACTCTGTTTGATCTGTGTCAGTGGTTTCTCTTCAAACTGTCCACAGTGTTGCCCAGTGGTCATGCAAGCAGTTTCCTGCCAGGACCAACTGATCTGGCAGGTGTCCAGGGCTCCTTCCACCTTAATGGGCCCCCACTCCCATCTGGCCCTGCATCCATCCTGTAGGGTCAGTAGAGCCGGGTCCAAGCCTGCCTCTGCTCTTGCCTGCTGCGTGCCCCTTGGAACCTTGGTATCTTCTTCTGTGATGGCAATCACAACCTCACATGGGGCTCGGCAGCCCTGAGCCGATATCCTGACACGGGACCCCCCGGCACCATGTGGTCAACAAGAAGTGGAGACGGGCCTGGGGAAGGGAAGGAAGCCCTGCAGGATGTGAACAGAGCAGGCACAGGACAGCCGTCCCACGTGAGGCAATGGTACAGAAGTCAAAGGACTAATCGCTCGCAGTACTTTGCACAGAGACGCAGATGGATGTTGGGCTTGGTCCTCAGTCCCACATTGCACAGAGGGGCTGTGGATTCTGCTGTCCACCCAGGCACATGCCAATCCCAGATGCCCTGGGCCCTCCCAGTGTGAACTCCCCAGTGTCCATAGCTGTCTGTCTCCTGACAGCCCTGAAAGTGTGGCCAAGGGCCTCGGCTGATTGGAAAGTGGGGTGGCGGGCGGGCAGTGGGGCAGAGAACACGCGGGATTCTGATAATCTGGCTTCCCTCTTGCAGGGTGAAGCCCTCAAGGCTCCCTGACCCCCTTGGCAGCTGGAGGCCTCAAGCCCAAGCCCTGGGCCTGGCTGTGCCAGAGGCAGCCCTGCAGGCCCTGGGCTCCTTTGCCCCAGTCCTGCCGCCTGGAACACAGACAGGATGGTTGGAGCTCGGTCACCTGGAATGGGGTTGCCCTAGATTCAAAAACCACTGTCCTTTTCAGAAGAGGAGTAGAGGCCACATTAAGATGGGGGCAGAGATGGGAGGGAGGTGGCCACAAGTCAAGGATGCCTGGAGCCCCCAAGAGCTGGAAGAGACAGGTAGAACCCTCCCTTGGAGCCTCTGGAGGGAGCTCAGCCCTGCGACCCTCCTGGTTTCAGACTCTGGCCTCCAGAATCGGAAGGAGGAGATTTCTGTTGTAATTCACCCATATGTGGTGATTTGTTACAGCCTTCCCAGGAAATGAATACAGCAGAGAGGGTGATTCCAGATAGAGAATGTTTCAAAGAAATGCTTGTGGTTGGGGGTGGCGGGGACAGGAGGAGGGGAACAGGGGAGGGAGGGCAAGACACTTGGTGACAGTGGTGACCTCTGAACCCCACTCCTGTGACCAGGTGACACAAGGCTCGCAGGATGGTGCCCTCCACGAAGCTGCCTCACTTGGACGCTCTGGTGACGGTACACTCCCTGCCTCCCTGCAGATCTTCCACCTGGGTCCCACCTGTCCCTCTCAGGTGACATGAACAAGCCTGACTCAGTTTCCCCTTCAGGCACCGTCCCTGAGGCTCCTTTGCCCGAGGCACCACTGCCAATGTGCTGACTCCACCTCTCTTTTTGGGGTTCAGCTCCTAGCACACACAACTGGCTCTTTTTTTGCCCGCACCTTGTGGTATGTGCAAGTCTTAGCCCCCACAGTGGAATATGGAGTCTTACCACTGGACTGCCAGGGAAGTCGGGCACCTAATAAGCCTGAGTGCAGTGAACACCCCCCCCGGCCCCCACAACCAGCACTGTTCCTTTCTGTCTGCTGCTGCAGCCGCACACACCTCGGGGACGCACTGGCAGAGGTGGGTCTGTCCCTGGGTCTCTTGGCCCCGCCCCCGCTTCCTACCAGCAGGAGGGCAGCGCAGGGTTCGTGCATGTTCTCAGACAGACAGACTCAGCTTCAGAAGATATTACTCAGTATTCTTTTAATTGTTTAGGTGCTACTTGACATTTGGAATCTCAAAACTTTCCACAGACTCTTGGGAAGCCTGGAAGATGGACCCACTGACCCAAGGCCTGTCCTGGACCCCCCGGCTCCCATGGACTCCAGCCTAGCCCACCTGCCACTTCCCGTGGTAGAGGTGTCCGGCACCTGGGGGCCCAGCATCTGCCCCTTTAGGGGGCATGGGGAGCTGGATGTCTCCCTGCGTGTCTGTGTCTGTCCCATGGGGCCAGGTGATTTAGAGAAGATGGGCCACAAGTTCCTAAAAGCCGGAGTCCCAGGACGGGGATCCCATGCCCAGGCAAGCCCCCAGCTCGACGCATGAGCCAAACACCCACTGCTTTCCCTCATCCCCCTGAAGCCCCCTAGGTGAGACGCGCTGCGGATGGGGTGGCTGGGGCTCTGCTTCAGAGGCCCGCAGCCCAACACCTGGCGTGACATTGTGAGCTCAGCAAGTGCATCACATTTCCCGGCCTCAGACCCCTTCCACGCGGACACACTGCCATCCATCCGAACACAGCCACGACGCTACCCCCTCCCCACCCCGGCTTTGAGAAGCTGCTTCTTGATCCTTTCAAGGAGCCGAAGGATGGGGCCTGACACACAAGGAAACTGAGACCCAGGTGAAGAGGGACTGGTCCCAGGTGAGGAGCGACGAGTGGTCCCAGGACAGTGGGGGTCAGGCAGGGCCACCCCCGGGAGGGAGGGGCAGCTGTGTGGTCGCAGCTAGAACTGGACGGGACCGGAGGCTGTGGTCAGCCCAAGGGCAGGGTGGCCATATTCCAGGCCGGTGACTGGCACCTCCCTGGTAACATCTTTGAATCACCCGCAGCAAGCTAGTGACTATGTGGAGAGGCGGGCCTTGCGCACCCCGTGGCCCCAGTCCTGGATGTGCTGAGTGCCCAGTGGAGCTGGCCCTCAGGTCCCTGGCTGGGGCAGGTGGGGACCCGCTTAGGGCAGGTGGTCCCTCTGCAGGGGAGATGGGCTGTCTGGGGTTGGGGTGCTGGGGTGACTCAGGCCTGCTTGCGCTCTGCAGGCGACTGCAATGAGACTTGCGGATCTGTGTTTATAATCCGTGGCCACGTGGCTATGGCTGGTGAGGAGGGCCTCCTGTGTGCAGCTCTGCGGGCCCCTGAGTCCCGGGAGAGCCAGGCAGGTGATCCTGCAGCTTGGGCCCACAGCCTCCTACACCCCCCAGTCAGCAGCCCCTGGAGGTCCTCCCTGTGCGACCACCTCTCCCTGGCTCCACTGGTGGGAGCCCTGGCAGGTTGCTCCTCAGTAGGGGCGGAGCAGGTCCTGGACCACCACTCGCTCCTGGGGCCCTGGACCAGCCCCTTTCCATCTGGCCTCGGTTTCTTCCTCTGACCTTCAAGTCTCTGACCCCCAGCACTCTGCACACCACTTTTTTCGCCGACTCCTGGGGCCCTGCTCACTGAACAGCCTCCACCTCCAGCGTCTGCCTCTGGGTGGGGCCTACTGGGGCCCACCCATAGGCCTGGCACCTGCTGGTCCTCCCTGGCCACCTGCCCCAGCTACACAGGTCTGTGCCTGGCGGGAGGCTGTGCTGATGTCGGACATGAGTCAACAGGCCGGGAAGCACAGCAAGGAGATGTCGCTGCCTCATGCCACCTGCTCAGCGCCGCCCCTGACCCCCAAACTGGTCCCATCCCCTTACCTGGACCGCCCTTCCTGGGACCCCGGGGTGTTGAACAGCTGGTGGATGCCGAGGGCCCACTGTCCAGCACGGGGGACGCCCGGGACATGGAGCCAGAGGGTGGGTTCAGGAATCTGAATCCTGCTGAGGTGGGAGGTGGGCAGCCCTGTGGTGGGCAGCGGTGTGGAGCCTGGTGAGCCTCACGCTCAATGCCCCTCTCAACCTCGTGGGCCCTCGAGGGAAAGAAGCAGGCCTCGGCCAGCCTGGGCTCCTCTGAACTGGAGGTCTCTGTCCCCCAGACTGCTTCAGGCCTTCTTGCAGCCGCCTGGGGAAGGGGCGGGCGGCCGCAGGGGCTCATGTGATGCAGGGCGGGCCTGGGGAGGCGCCGGTGGGGGAGGTCGCCTGCAGCCTGCGGCGAGGCAGCCAGCTGTGTCACCGTGATAGTGCGGCCGGCCAGGGAGCAGCCGTGCAGCTGTGCCCACTGCTTCCTCAACAGGAACCATCTGGGCCCGGCCCTGCCTGGCCTCCCCTCACGGCAATTCCGTTCTGACTTCCCAACAACTTCCTCCTCCAGCCCAGCCGGTGACACTCCACCCACCCTGAGCCTGGCCCGCTGGGCGTGCTTCCTTGACCTTGGTTGGTACAGGGGGGCGTGAGGGTGCTGATCAACAACAGAAGGGCAATGTCCACCCTGGCCAAGCCTCCCAGCCCAGTCCGGCCTGCCTATCTCCCCTCTGGCCTGGCCCAGCCTGCAGCCTGGGCTGTCCAGGGGTCTCCACCCTCTCCTAACCTCAGCCAGACTTCCCCCAGGGCCCTCTTCCCAGTGCCAGCTGTTCGTGGGCCTCACTCGTAACCTTGAACCTGACTTCTGGGTCAGCCCTGGTCTGATCCTGGTCCTGCCACTCTGGCCAGCCCCCTGCACTCAGGCTTTCCCCTGCAGCCTGGAGGTCCTGGCTCCCACCCACCCTGAAAGTGCTGCCCACTGGGCTGGGCAAGGAACCCCCCTCTCTGAGTTTGTCCCCCTGGCTGGGGTCTCTTTGGAGACCCTCACCCCATTTCCTGATGGACACCTTGGGGAACAGTCAATTCAGACTCACAGGTGGAATTTGCTGAGAGCGTGAGGCTGCTCCCCAGTCTGAGGGATGACAGAAAGCACGCCAGGGCCCTCACTCACCTCTCAGACTAGACGCGGGTGTCTCAGACCCCTCACCCAGCACAGAGGAGGTGCGGCTGCACACAGACATGCAGTCACTTAGTGAAGGTGGTGACCACCATGGGAAGACCCCTTGAAGGAGACAGTGTGCCCCTTGCCCTCCACTGGCCTGTCAATCAGTCCCTGGGGACCCAAACTTTGTGTAGGCTCAGGGTCTCCGACTGGCCAGAGGTGTGCAGCCCGCAGCCCCAGAGCTCATGAATTTTGATAAGCTGAATTGAATTTCTAGGTAATTCCTGCCCATGGGGAGCATTCCGAGCAGTGCAGAGGGCGCAGGGCAGCCAATGAGAACCCCATCCATGCCCCTAATGCTGTCTTTCCCCAGAGGCACTGTCTCCCCAGGTGGGTATCCTTCTAGAGCCTGTGCAGCACAGACCCTGTCTGTTCCTGGAAGGGGCCGCCACGTGCACATCCCCTGCAGGCCGGGCTGCCCTGAGTCCCCAGGGTTCAGATGGAGAGGACGGTCCTTGGAGCCAGGGCCCAGTCCCCGACGTCTCTGCCGTCGTCACGGCCCCTCCTGGTCTGCCCTGCTCCAAGTCAGGGTGGGATCTAGGGTCACACTGGCCACCACCTCTCCCACCCCCCAACCCAGTTTCCTCGGTGTGCATGGCGCCCTGATCACGGTGGTCCCAGCTCCCAGGCCGCTCAGGGTGGAGACTGTGGAAGATGCTGGGCACAGCCTGCCTCATGGTCCACGGTGCAGCTGTGACCCCCACTGCTACTGGAGCCCTGTGTCACCCCATTTTCCAGGCTGCAGATGGTGGGACCTCTCCAAGCTGGGGAGTGAGAGGGTTTTAGGGAGACACAGGCCCCTCCCGTGTGAAGGCAGTCCCCACCCTGGCTCTGGGCAGATGTTCAGGGCACCTTGCACCTGTGGGGCACCCCAGATGGGACACTTCCACTTTCATGAGGGGCCTCTCATCCTGCCTGGTTTTCTGATCAGCGGGGCTGACAGAGGTTGAGTTGAAATAGAAGAAAGTTGTCCACGAATGGGGAGCGGGTGCCACACCACCCTTGGTGGCCATCTCTGGAGTATTCGCCTGCTCCCCACTCCCCCTGGGCCGGGCAGTTGGGTCTTGTGGGGAAGCAGACGTTGGTTGCGGCTTTTGGAGCTGGGCGGCCCGGGAGATAAGGCGCCCAGGAGGAAGCGGCTGCAGTAAGAGGGGTGGGGCTGCTCCCTCCGGAGGCCACGGCTGCCAGCACCCGGTGTGGTGGGGAGGGGGTGAGGGGCCTTCTCTCCCTCAGGAGGCAGACATTCAACCAATAAGCCCCTAAGAGATGTGGCCCATGGGGCAATCAGGGGAGGTGATTTGGAAGCTGTGTCTCAGGGATCAGAGCTGCCCCTGGGGAGTGAAAGGAAATGCATTCCAGATAGAAGGGCCCTGAGGTGGTCACAGCTCCAGGCTTTCAGGATTCTGTAGGATGGTCAGCGTGCTGGAGGGAGGTCAGGAGAGGCCAGTGGTGAGAGGCCACTGGGCAGAGGGGGCAGGGAAGTCACTAGGATGGGTGTCTTATTTCTGTCTCCTTTCCTGTCCTGTAGGAGCCCCATGACTGCTGGGTGAATGAATGACTCAATGGGAGGTGGATGGATGGATTTATGGATGGATGGATGAATGGGTGTGTAGATAAATGATGGATGGATGGATAGTTGGGTAGATGAATGGATCACAGGAGGATGGTTGGGTGGATTGAGGGATGTGTGGGTGATGCATGGATGGCTCGCAGGAGGACGGTTGGAGGGAAAGATGGGTGACTGGTGGATGGACCAGTGGAAACACAATTCTATGCAAATCTTAGGTAAGCTGTGCTTTAGAGAGCAGGGACTGCGACTCACAGGGGTGACATTCCCAACCACAAAGCCCCCCAGAGAGGGATATGAGACACAGGACAGCCCCAGAGAAGGCCCAATGGGGAGATGTGAGCTACAGGGGAGCCAGGACAGCCCAGCACTCTTCAACCCAGGGCCTGGCAGGTGGCCAACCTCTGCTTCCAGGTCTGGAATGAAATGTGGCCTGATGGTGGTGGTGTGCTCACGCAGGACAGACAGGTGAAGCCAGTCCAGGGCTGGACTCCTGGCCCACCATTCCCCAGTCAGAGTGTCATAGAGCAAACTCAGGGCCACAGGAAAGGGCCACTTGCATCCTGGGTTGATAAGTGGGAATCCCGCACACGAGGCCAGGTTCCGGGGCTCCTGGAGGCAGTCAGCACTTATTGGCAGGAGGAGCTCTGTCTTTGGGGGCCAGAGGCTGGAACCCATGCAGACACCAGTGAGAGGAGACTGAGCTGGCATCCGGACCCTCTGGTGCTGTGGGCACCTGTGGTGTCTGGTGAAACCCATGAGCCTCATCTCTAAGCAATGTTGTTGGAAACACGGATACATTCACAGAAGTACAAAGGAAACTCCTTTCATCCAAATACAGATGCCAAACTGTTAAGATCTTTCTGATGTAGTAATACACATGCTTCTCTATCTACCGTAGCTGTGAGTGAGAACTGTGACATCAGATATCACAGTAGCCAAAATATAAGACGCTAGGTTGAACCCGGTGAAATTCCTGCTACTTGGCTGCTGCTGACCTACAAACGTGACAAAGGCAGCTGAGTCTGTCCATGCCGAGCTCACAGGAATGGCTGACACACCTGTGTTCATGGTAAAAGGAAATGCTACACTTTGGTTAGAGGTTAGTGAAGTATAGGTGTAATCTCTTTTTTTATCTATATTTATTTATTTGGCTGTGCTGGGTCTTAGCTGCAGCATGCAGGATCTTCATTGCATCATGTGGGGTTTTTTGATGTAGAGCATAGGCTTACTTGATCTATGGCAGGTAGGTGGGATCTTGGTTTCCCGAACAGGGATTGAACACACATCCCATTCAGTGAAGATGGATTCTTAACCACTGAACAACCAGGGAAAACCCTGTAATTTTTTCCTTAGCCAAGTTCATGGACCCCTCTTCCTTAATAAAGAACCACTGTTCTAGCTTATGTTGAGGACTCCTCCCATCCAGTGCTTCAGTCAGAGCCTTCTAGCCCCAGTGAACCTGCCACATGGAGGCTTCCAGAGTCAGAGACCCCCAGGGTCACACTCCCATGTTAGCTGTCTTTGCTGGATGCTCTTGGGCCAGCTACTGAACCTCTCTAGGCCTCAGTTTCCTCAACTAGAAAATAAGAGGACCACAGGGCCCACCTCACAGGGTGCGGTTCGGGTTCACTGAAACCACTCCACGGAGATCCTGCTCCGTCAAGGTTGGCTGAGGTCCCTGTGGGTGTGCTGTCACCAGAAAGCTCATCCTGAACAGAGCTCCAGTCAGATTCCCTGAGAATTCTGCTTGTCCAGCTCAGGACCCTGCCCAGGGAAGCCCTTCGGGAGTGAGGGCTTCCCTCCCCTACTCACCCTCCCTCTGTCCCCCGCTTTCACTGTCTGCAGAGACCTCCTCCTTCCTCTCAGCCTCCTGGCTCCTGCCCCCCACCCCCACACCGCAGTAGGAAGGTCTGCCCAAATCGCATGGCTGTCATCCAAGTCCTCTTCATTCTTCATTCTCTTCATTCCTCTTCATAAACCTTCAGTGGCTGCCCAAGGCCCCAGGATGAACCCCAAAGGTGACCCTGGATACCACCTTGTTCTACTCCTTTCCCCTCGACAGCTATCTCTCTCATAGGACCTGCTTTACTCCCCAAAGTTCTTTCATTATCTCTGATCTTCCCCAGCTCCTCCCACAGACCGGTCCTCCCCTGGCAAACTCCTACACATCCCTCAGAGCCCTCAGGAAGCGCCCCTCCTGTGCCTCCACAGTCCTGGATGCCCCATCACAGCATTAGCACCTTGGATTGTGGTTGCTGTGAGCCAGCCTCCGTGGACAGCAGGAGAGCAGCCCCAGGGTGGAGACCTCACCCTTCTTGGTGATGGCTGTGTCCTTGGCGTGCAGCCCAGGATCCACTTAAGTGTGATGGAAGGCCGAGTGTGTGCGCACATGCCATCTCTGGATGCCCCCCATCCTTCTATAACCTTCCAGGCATGAATTCCATCGGCCCTCAGGACTCCACTCCCCACCTGCATGAAGAAGACAGAAGGAATGACCACCTCTCCTCAACCTCTAACCCCAGTGGTCCAACCAGTTCAGGAGAAGTGGGTCCAGAGGCCCAAGAACCTTAGTGGGTTGCCTTTGGAGACCTGGCCCCTAGAGGGGTGCTGCAGGCTCAGGTGCCAGGAGGTAGAGGCATGGTGTAGCATCCTCTGAGTTTGGGGACCAGGGCTCGGTAGTCTGTGCTGGGTCAGCGTGGGCCTCCTGAGCCCGGAGGTGTGTGGAGTGGGGGAAGCCATGCTGCTCCTCTTGCCCTGAACATTGCCTGCTCAACAAGCAGGATGGGGGCTTTGGGCTGAGGCCGGTGAGGACAGTCTGAGGATGGAAACAAGAGTGC